AGTCTACAAAAAGAGGACAGATAACCAACTCTGACAGCAGTGTATGCATTGCAGATGCTTGTACTTGGTTGGATGGATCCCATCCTGATCTCCTGCACTCTAAGCAAATTCCCAATAGAGGAAAATTCTCCCTGCTCCAGAAGGAGCATGAACTGCTTCTCCCCTCCCCACACCTGTCCTTCATGCACTCCCTTTCATTTCATAAGGTGAGCAGTTTTCTTCCAATTAACAGAAACTAAAGTATTCTTAAAAGAAAATGAAGCTCCAATTCCCTTGGCAACACCAGAGAACGTACTCCCTTCTGCAAGGTCATTTTTAAATTATGAAGACGCAGAGGCATATTATTCCCAGTATTGATTGTAGCTCTGTCAGCTGGCAGCACTGGGAGGAGACACGTGGAATGGGAGTCTTGCCCATGAGAGCCACACACGTGTGAGACCTGGAGAGAGACATAGAAACTAAGCCCTACGCTCAGCACTGAAAGGCAGGGCTTGTTGCCAAACACGAACATGGTTTTCCTTCATATTTTAGTCATCCCACATGTTTGTGCTCCACAGTGTACTTCCTAAGGAAATGAGTCCCAGAAGCCAGGCTTTTTCCCTAGCTGTTTTCTCAGCTCCTCTGAGCACTGACTTTGTTTGACGTCTTTCCCTTGCCCATTTGTCCTCACGGATACCCAGGAGGACAGCGCTCTCAGCACTTCCTCACCTGAAAAGACACAGAAATGAAGAATAAAGACTTCCCTGGGAAAGAAAAATGTACTGGAGCTGCCACAGTGGGGAAGCCCTGTGAATCCAAAACCACCTTCCCCGGTACGAGTACAGTCACCATATCTCCATCCCCCTTCCTAGCACTGTGACCAAGAGGAGACAGAGAGAACACTGTTCCAGGTTTTATCCTGTCAAAGAAAGATGAGTGTTGTGGTAGCAGCTCCCTCCATTCTCCATCACTGCATGTCAAGAGAAGCATGAAAGTAACATCTCTGAGTAGGTACCCGAGTAATTGCAGTCCATATGGCACCTCAGATTACAGAGTTGCCTGAGCATGAGTAATTCCTACGCCTACCAAGGTTTTCTGCTTGAAAGGTTGACACCTTTGCAGCTACTGTGGGCCTGGCAGCCCTCCCATGGGACACTACTGTGCACCTGGAGGGATTCATTCTTGTACCCATGCAACCTTCACTGCTGAAGGGTCATCATAGCTGGATTTCACCTCTGCTTTCATGGGCAGGCAGCCAGCAGCATCCCACTTTAATACCCTCTCCAAGGATGTTCTACCTCTTTGCCAAGCAGGGCCACCAAATCCTGCTGAGGGACACCTATGCTCAACACACTGCTGTCAGTTGCCACCATGTCTACTACCTATCAAGACCTATTAATCATAGAATCATGGAATGGGTTGGGTTGGAAGGGACCTTAATGATCCAGTTCCACCCCCCCTGCCATGGGCAGGGACACTTTCCACCAGCCCAGGTTGCCCAAAGCCCCGTCCAACCTGGCCTTGAACACTGCCAGGGAGG